TACTTATTACAAGTCGCAGGGGCTAAGATGGCCTGGGCTTGGACTGTTTGCCTGTCACATCAGGGTTACAGAGAGCAGTTTCAACAGAAAGCCAAGGTATGGTTGAGGTATGCAGTTTTATGGGGCTTTTACCATGTCACACTATCTCATCCTGTGGCTCAGAATGCCTTAACCTTCGGAATGCAGCCCAGTAGGTCTCAGCCTCCTTTTACCCAGCCCCTTTTCAAGATGCAGTTGCTCTATTAAACACTTCTGACGGGTGTAGTTTCTTCACACAAAGGGATTGCAGATGGGGTTAGGTCCCTGTTCCACCAGCCTGGCTCCTTCCCAGTTCCTGTTTAATACAGCCCCACATATTAGAAATTATCTGCCAGCAATGTGGCCCCACCCCAAAAAAGAAAAAAATTACCCTTTAGGAGTCATGCAGCTAGCAGTCACAGGACTCTAAACGTCCTCAATTGTTCCTGGGGATAATGTCAGTATTGTAAAACCTAAGCTTGGTGCTGGAGGTATTTTTCAGACCCTGAACTTGATGGCTCTGATGCTGCCACCCGGATGGGTGAACTGGCTCTTCTGATGTTGTGGCCCTGCCCTGCCCCAGGAACTGACTTCGCACAAGAGAAAAACTTTGACTCCCTATGATTTCATCTCCAACCCAGCCAATCAGCACTCCTCACTTCATGGCACCCTATCACCAAATTATCCTTAAAAAACCCTGGTCATGGGAGGCAGAGATTGTAGTCAGCTGAGATCACGCCATTGCACTCCAGCCTGGGTAACAGGAGCAAAACTCCAACTCAAAAAAGCAAACAAACAAGACCTGGTGTGGTGGCTCAGGCCTGTAGTCCCGGCACTTAGGAAGGTGGAGGTGGGTGGATCATGAGGTCAGGAGATTGAGACCATTCTAGCTAACACGGTGAAACCCCATCTCTACTATGAATACAAAAATTATCCAGGAGTGGTGGTGTGTGCCTGTAGTCCCAGCTACTTGAGAGGCTGAGGGAGGAGAATCACTTGAACCCGGGAGGCGGAGGTTGCAGTGAGTCAAGATCATGCTACTGCACTCCAGTCTCAGCAACAAAGTGAGACTCTGTCTGAAAAAAACACAAAAAACAATCACAGAAAAACCACAAATGAAAACAAAACCTGTCTCCACACTGATTTAAGTAATATTAATAAGACTCCGGTCTGCTGTTCATCCAAATCTGTGTGAATAAAACTGTTTTTCTTTTGTAATTCCCCTGTCCTGATAAATTGGCTTTATCTGGGTAGTGGGCAAAATAAACCCGCTGGGTATACACATTCATTTTAACAACACAATAATGGTTATTAACCTTTGCATTAATCTCTGCTTCTGGTAGAGGAATTTTGCATCTGAAGGACCATTTGAAATGATAGGTAAATTTGGATCTGTAGCCTTTGGGAGCATCTACACTAAATCTGAAATATTTTTCCATGCACTACGCTAATCAGTTATATCCAATAATCCCAA